AAAGAATGTCATGGTTAAATTACGAAATTGCTCTTGTACTAAAAAAGGACAAAGACTTCCCCTAGTGGTGAAATTAACCTCCAGTGAATAAATGGGCGTAATACTTTGAACTGTAATGGAACTGAAATACTTTCAAGATTAATTTACTCGAAGTAATACTATTTACGGAATTGAATAAAATTACGATAATACTCTGAGCTCTGAAATGAACTAATAACCTCATTGACTGAGGATTAAGTAAGTGAATTGGATAAGTCTGGAAACTCGGATGAACTTACATGGTGTACCATCCCTATGGGTTATGAACCACAAATCAAGTATGTCGATATTTCTTGATATAGTTAAATCGTGAAAATGAAATAAAGACCATTGAAATATATGTTCGTCTTCTTAAGTTACATTCAACTATGATTATGAAGATGATCAAATTGACAAGAATTGTATATATTAAAAAGTGAATACTCTAGAAGTACAACAATTTGATCGGTCGATAAGTATCATTTATGGGACTTGTACAGTTCGGGTTGACTCGATATTTCGATAGGTCAACATAAATCGTAAATGTCTTGAATCTTTGTTCTCCTTTATCAACTCAAATCATTCTGGTCATATCTGAAAACACAAGTAACTCATATGTAAAGAATTCTGAATACCCTTTTTATTACTTAGTGCCTCCGAAAAACGTCTGAATGTTAAATGATCCTAATAAATCACATCTTGGATAACTGATGATTTCATCAGCTAATAAACTCTTCTAATAGTGATTCTAACTTCCGGCATTCTATTGATATATTGAAGATCAGTGTTTTTTTTCCCGATAAGATTATCCAGTATCTCCGAACCATATCTAGAACCTCTAGTGTATTCCCTAATCACATGAATGTTTTATCTTATTTCTGTTATGATTTTTGAGTTGGATTCTATATGATATCTGATCTGAATTATGTTATGATTTCTTATTTCTGTTTACTAAATGAAAATGTTTTATTTGGGATACTCTGGGATCTGGTATGAAGACTCTAGCAGGTTCAGTCGTTGCGGTTAATTCCTTTTATAGGTTCTGCACCGACTGATAATTTCTTATGGACCTAAGGCGATCCTTGGGTAGGCTCTGCGTCACTGAGATTTTCTTGGCTAGGCCTTAGTGGCCCTGAGATTTTTCTTGGGTAGGTTCGCAGGCCCCAAGGTACTCCCTTAGGTTATGTAGTTCTGGGGAACTTCATTGGCATTCGGTTGAGGGACTACTATGATTTTAAAAGATTTATATATTTTCACTAGTTTTGTGGGAACACACTAGACAACCTATTCTGATCTCCTGAACCTAGTCATCTAAAATATTTCCTCTGAACTGGAAGCTTAATGTGTGTTACTACCTGAGATATCAATGGGACCTCAGCTCAGCCTAAAAATCTATAGATGTCTGAACCAATAAAGAAACATATGTTTATATGTTTTGTGCATGTTCTTCAACATCATCTGGTAGTTCTGTATTACTGAGCTTCCCAAAGCTCACTTTGTTACTCACTATTATAGGTTAAAAGGATTGAATTAGTGCAATTATAGACATCTGTAAGGGAGTTTCTCCGACGTTGCTTGTAGAGTATAGTACATGTGATTAGGGGGCCTTAGGTTGTATTTTATTTTATATACGAGTCTGAAAATATATTTTATTTCTGAATACTGATAAATTTTATTTTGTATTCATAAATCATTTTATGGGTTCACATGTTTTAATAAAAGTTTTAAATTTTTTGAGATTTTTACGATGGATCGCTCCGGTGACTCTAATGTGACACCTAAATCAGATCGGATAACCCGTATCGATATGTGGGTATTACAAACTTACTTAAATATTAGAGACCATTTATGTAGTTTTCCTAATTAAAAAATGGGAAATTGTTTTTAACTACCAAACAAGGAAACGGGAAGCGGAAAAAGTTCATTTCCCTTAATATATACACATATATATCGAGCAACGACACGGCACTTCGAAGAAGTTTTCGTTTTTTTTTTCCTTTTTCAATTTTCTCTCACTGATCTTCCCATCAATGGCTTTTTGATCGGGTAGTTCTCTATTTCCTCTGTCGACTTGTACTCTTCTTTTTTCTTTATCATTTTCGGTGATTTCCCCAATCCTTTCATGTTGTATATGGCTAATTAGAAAAAATGTACGAAAAATAATAGGTGAAATAAACGATGATTCTTGTGATTTCGGTATTCAAATTCATAAAAAAGTAAGGGAAAGATGAACGGGAAATAGAAAATCTTACCTAAATTAATCTAGATTAGATTTTATTTAATTACACTTCTTTTCAGATTCTTTTGCGTGAGCCTTAATTAGATATTTACTAGAATATTAAGATCTTGTTATTATTATTCTACTGGTTCTTGAGTTTGAGTTCTGCATTTTTGTTAAAGGAACATTGGTTTAGAGTTAGCTATATTGACGAGGAACCTTACCAGTTATCAGATCATATGGCGTTCTCACCTTGTTGGCGAGGTTTTGGAAGTTGATTTATATGCGTTACTATTAGACAAATTTCTCTGAGGATATGAGGTTAGTTTAAAATAATACCATCTGAATTGAGGTATGCGTTTTTCTCTCTAAATTTGAAACAATCTTCAAAGAATGAAATCTGAAGTTTTTCATTTTCTGTAGTCTAGCTGAACATATACATGATTGAAAATGCATAATTCTGAATATTCCTGTTCAAATTTTAAGTGAGTGTGTAATTGCTATTGTTTCACCTATATAAAATAATAATTATCTCAGTCCATTAGTTCCAACAAAACTATCATTTTTTATGACATTCCACTTCAACCTGCAAGCTAGGAAACGGAGAGCAAAACCTTCTACTGTGGCCCAGGACGACAGGCTTATTGAGCTTAGATTCCGCTTGTGTGATGGGAAAGATATAGCACGCGGTAATTACAAGCCCTCTATGACAGTTTCAACTCTTAAGGAAAAGATTGTTGCTGAGTGGCCCCAAGGTTATATTCTATCTCTTTACTTGTTTCCTCCTCTGATTTTACTCCTACCTCAACTCTGTAACTGGATTAAAGATCTTTGGTGCTCATCGGTTTGATTTGTTTTGTTAATGTTGTTTCTATCTTTTAATTTGAGGATCATGGGTTGATTTCAGCATTGCCTGCACATTGTGCATATAAAAACATTTTTGAATGATGTAAATTTGTCTAGCCAGTGTTTATGTGTGAATAAATTAGCTGACCCTTATTCCCATATGTAATGGGATAAGGGGAGGTAGGATAGTAGGTTGTTCCCAACGCCAGGTTGAGAGCAGCTTCCGTGGGAGACCTCCAAATTATGAAATGTCTTCCGTGTGACTCGATCCCACGACCTCAAGGATAAGAACCACAACCTCAATTTTATGTGTGAAATATATGTATATGGCAAGTTAATTGTTAAAGTTCTTAATGGAATTTAACTTAAAATATCATGGATGATCCTCCTCTCCTTGACCCTCGTGTATTTTCAGGCAATACGGTGACACCACCGTCAATAAACGATTTGAAACTCATACATGGTGGTAAAATTCTGAGAAACAACAAAACCCTCGCTTGTTGCACAAATACAGTTGGTGACTTTCCCGAAGATGTTATCACCATGCACGTGCTAGTGCAGCCTGCTAAATCAAAACGCAAGACAGGTTCGTCAACTTCTCTTTCTTGAAAGCACAAGATTTCTTTATTTTCATCACGATCAAGATTTTATATAGATCCTTGTTGAATTCATATAAACCTTTGGACAACCCCCCCCCCCCCAAAACACCAATTTAATATTTTTTTTTTATTGAAAAGTGAAAACACTCACTGTCACTGGAGTTTCTTAACTAAAGAGGTGAATGAGTTTATAACTTTGTATTCTCTCCTGGTTTATTGTCCTTGTTTTTTGGTGCACTGCAGCAAATAACAAAGAGGAGTTGCAGAAGCTGAATCCATGCGGATGTATTATTCTTTAATCCAGAAACATCCTCTATAGTTTTCAACTTGCTAGTTGAAAATGATCTAGCTTTTCACGATTATACCTCTAGTTTGTCTCTGTCTGATTTGCTTTTGGAAATGGCGTTCATCTGAATATTGGCTGCTTTTAACAATAGGACTCAGGTACACTGTTCCTCTGTAACCATCCTCCTACCGGTAAAATTAGGCTATCAGAAAATCAAATTTTGTGTAAGCTACATTTGCCCTATAGAGGCTAATGAAATCTATTTGGCAAAGAGATAATGTTAATTTGGGCAAATTACCAATGCTTTGCACATGAATGATATAACTAAAATGCCAATATTAATTGTATGCTTTATCATATGTAGTTCACTTGTAAACATCTAGATTCTACTATGACTATGCATGATAATGATAGTCTTCGAGACCAACTACATCTACTTGCTGTGGGAACCATGTCAGCACTTTCAAAGGTATTGCTTCACTATTTCTTTGTAGAATCAATGATGACATCTTTAATCTGTATTATGAAGTATTAACTGAAATAAGAAAAAAAAGAAAGAAAAAGACATCAAACTGCCTAGACAAAGGCTTGTATAGTGTAACAGTCTAAAGTACACCAGGTTTCTTCCTTTGAATTTTGGAAATAGTGTGTATAGGTTTTCTACCCAATGTGTTGCCTGAAGAGTAGGTATCAAAACTGTACACCGTGTATGTAGGAGTTAGTTTGTCTCGTATTTTTAGTTTTGTTTTTGCCTGCTTAAAGTGGGGTGATCCAATCACCAATCTTGACATGTACGTGGGGATGGATCAAGGGAGCTGGTGGGATCATTGCCCCCTAAAAATTTAGGTACTTTCTATTGATAACCTCGTTTCACTTTCCTGATAAAATTTGATCTTTCTAGAATGAAATTCATCCAGTAAACCAGCCAGGCTGGCTTCAAATTTAGCACCATCCAAACCTTAATTACGCATGTACTTGGCGTCCAACTTCCTTTTCCTACTAGCTAAAGCTACAAGTAGATACTAAACATTAATACCACCAACGGCTCCCTTTCTACCTCCTTGATTCCCATCATCTACCTTGATTTCTTGTGAAGATTGAGAATGGCCAGTGCTACCAGCCAAAAGAAAATCAATGATCCGACCAAAGAAAATATTATAGCAGCAGTCATTTGGTGACAGAATCCAACGAACATATTGCAAACCTTCTTCCACTGCACATGCGAGTTACCATATTGGCTTAAGACCCCAACGGCAATTGCTGCCCCATTCGCAGACAAGAGCAACCCCATTATGGTCATGTCCAGAACCACCAGAACTATACCTGTCTTTTCTTTGGATGCCCGAACTGCCATTGATGCTACCAGCGATGCTGCTGCGTATGAAAATGCTATCGCGTTCGATATCAGGAAGTACCTAACAAAATGATATACGGCTGAGTCAGACATTTTATGTTTCAAATAAGATCGTCGAGATCAGTGTCGAACATGTTTAATTTAAGATGGCTTGAAATCCAAATTTTCAATTGTTAGTTATTCATTTTAATGATTATGTTCATCCTGAAACTTTATTAATTAAAAATATTTCTAGATACTACTGATCAAGATCTAAGACTAAAACATAAGATTTTTTTATCAGGAAAAAAAATACCGTAATGGGTGATATCTACGTAAGCAGGACATTACATACAGACAGACAGAATCTTGATGGATGGAACAGAAACTAAAAGAAAACTCACACAAAGGCAGACATGTAGTGCCACTTAGCAGTGACGGGGACGTGCAAAGTGGGTAAGGTTTCTGTGATAGTTATAGGAATAATCTTGGTCTCCTTGTCCACACCAGTTAAAATGGCTGCTACCAACGTCAGAGTTAACACCAGAACCCTTAATAATCCATCGCAGTATCTAATTCTCCTTGAACTCTCTACCACCTTCAAGCTGCTCCCAATTCCATCCATCTTAATCTCTAGAAAGAAAACTTGAGCTAATGGAGAAGGGTTATTGAGGTACAGAAAGGGTTGACGGAAAGGGTTTAGAAAAGAGTGAATTATGGGGATAGTTAATGGAGTGGAGGTTGGAATAAAGGAGGAAGTTGAGGATGCATTGAAGGCAACTGGCTGGCGGCATTAAAGGAGGTCAGTGAAATAGTGTCTTTAGAGTGGAGGAAGATGTGTACGTAAAACCAGCAGGAAGTCGAATATTATTGCGCCAGGGTATCGATCCAGCGTCCTGCACAACCCCAACCCTACATTTACAATGTGTATTAGATGCCTGAGTAATGCAATGCGGTATCCGATGAGAAAAACAGTGACTGGCTATGTTGCTTGGTTGATGAGAGACCTACTTGGTTCGTTTGACGAGCTGATCATAAAAGAGATCATTACTACCCGTTTTAGTAATCTGATTTTGGAAATTATTGAAAAAGGTACCAAATTCATTTAAAACTACTTTTTAATGCCTATGATGACACTCAAAAGAAAGGTTGGATGTGAGGTTGGCTCACTTGGTTGAGCATTCATTAATACTTTGATAAATATTAAGGTTAGAATCACTTGGTTGATTATTAAACACACACCCTTACTTTAATATTACAATTATCCTTATACGACCTTTAACTGTGTAATTCGTTTTTAGCTGTAGTTATAAATGGAGTTCCGTTAAAGCATTCTGCTGATATGGCGCATAGTTATCGACCTCCTTGGTACTGCCGTAGAGTGACACACTCTGAGGAGAGCTAAGGGAACCTGATTTTTGCATCAAAAGTCGCCTTTAGCTCTTTTCAGGGTGTGGATAGAATCTTGAGGGTGTTTTGCTCTTTAAGCGGCACCCAAGGAGGACAATAATACCTTTGCGTTATTGGCAGCACCATGCTATAAGAAGTTTCACTAGATGAGTGGCTAAGTATTTGATGGTTTATTCAGGGCTTCGCTAGATGGAATATAGATTTGTGATATTGCGTTCCAAAATCTTAGATTGCTTCTTGAATATGATTCTTTCAAAAGTTAATTCATATTCTATGAAATCCTTTTATGTTTAGCAGAGGGAGGCAGGATAGACTACATGCTTCTGCTGGAAACATGTAATCCAAATTCTATATCGATATTCCTTGCATGCAACTAGACAATTATTCAATACGTACTTTAGAGCAGACATAGTATCTGATAATGCAAGGATTGTTACAGGATGAGAATGAAGACAGCAAGGGTAGTAGGACAAACAAAATGAAAAATTCAAAGAAGATGAGGAATAGTTCTCACAGTTTGAAAAAAGTGTATGAGAAGCAGTGGGGGGAGAAAGAAAAGGAAAGGATAGAGAGAGAGGCAGCTATTCAAGCAAAGAAGGAACAGAGAAAGAAAGTTGAAGCCCAGAGGAAGGTAGAAAGGAAGGAGATGTTCAAAAAGACAAGACATGGTCAGCCTATAATGAAATATAGAATCCAGCATATCTTGCAGTCTATACAGGGTTCACCTGGATGAATTTATCAAATAATGTAGTGGAACAAATTATTTTCTTGAATAATGCAGTCGACAAATTATTTCGTGAAATAGGATAATGCTACAGTAAACTCCGAAGATGCATTGGAGTCCAAGCGACTTACTCAAACCTCTTGAAGATGCCGGTGCAAGCCCCTCGAAGTTACATGGTAATCCATGCGTCTTCCCCCTCATTTACCGATGTAGGTAATATCCTCAACCCATACACCCTCACATGCATGGGCTATGCACGATTCATGAAAGACTCATTTACCGACGTAGGCTTTCCATGCGTCTTTCCCACTGAACTTGTGAATTCCTCATGCAGAGGCAACAGTAGCAGAGGGGAGAGAGCAGGGGAAGGGGGGTCGGTTCCTACGTAGGTACATCTCCAACATGCGTCTCGCGAGTCCCTGGTGTGGCCGATAAAGTCCATGGCATTGAAATGATAAAAGTGTAACCCATACTCCTGCACTCCTATCCTGACCTATACCCTATAAGAACAAGTTAAACATTAAAAAAAATCTTTCTACTATATATATGTTAATGAAATTGAGTCAATTGCAATTCAGAAAATTGATAGAGGGAGCAGAAGCAATTGCAATTCATAAAATATTTTTCAAATTTTTTGGTTGAATAAAAATTAAATTTATATAAGTAATTACCTATATAAAGTATTTTTTAATATTTTATAATATCAATTAGGGACGAATTTAGGATCAAACTTTAAGAGTAGTGATTACTTGAGTCTAAAACAATAAAATTTCATGAAGTATTCGATGTAAAAATACTAGAGAAACGCATTTAGTTTAACTTAAATTTCAACTAGAAATTTTAAAAGGGCCAAAACTCTTCTACTCTCTACATGATCCGTCCCCAATTTCAATTAACTCTATGTGAGCGAGTGATTTGCTTAACAGGTATCAACTTTTATCTGTAATGTTTTAGGGTAATCAACTCCTCATATGTTACAAGTGCTCGAAAAGAATCAAGTCGATTCTGGAAAAAGTTGGTCCCGGGTAAGATAAATTTTGCATGACCTTTTGACACACACAGGTGAGATGGTAACTGGTGCAACAAGTTCAATGGTATCCAGGTTTAGTTGTATGTATGATAAAGACGACGAAAACAAGCAAATGAACAGATTCAGTGCGACTGCCATAGATGGAGAACCATGATTCTTATCACGTGGCATTTCATTACAAATGAAGACTCCATTTCTCAAACCATCTTCTTGGTTTTTTTTAATTAGGGTAAAAGTAAACAATAAGTGAATGGAGAGGTAAAAATGGATGAATTCACGTACGCAGAGCATTATGATTGGCATTGATCATTGACAGTAATAGTAGTTAGTAGTAGTTGTAATCATTTTGGCAGTGCAATCATTCATTCTCTAATTACACCCAACTTTGTTCGTTTCTCCTCCGCCGCCGCTGCTTTTTTTCTTTTTCATTTAATATTTGCTGATAATAATGGTGTGAGATAATTCTCTTTATATAAAATATATTTTAAGGATAAATTTATAATTTAATTTTAGTAAAAAATTTATTATTCAATGACAGAAGAATGATATTTTTGAAGAAAAAAAATTAAGAATATTTTAATTCAAAACGTCAATAATCCAAAAATACTAAAGAGATGTAATGACATTCCCAATAATATACCTAAAATATCAACTATTAATAATAAAACATTATCGAAAATGAAATTCCCAACCAATTAAACATAAAAATATAGATTTAATTCGTATAAAAATCTCACGTTCCTCAACTATGCAGCTCCTAAGCGAGTAAGGGTAAACGAGGAGTTTTTCATACAAATTAGAAAGAGTGGAGATGAGAGCAGGTGGGCACTGTAGAAAGCGAAAGAAAAAGAAAAGAGAGCGTGAATGAAAGAAGCCGAAAAGGTTGTCAGTGTCTATCACGTGGCACAACATTCGAGGAACCAACCCTCATAATAATATGTATATGCCCTCAAAGTTACCATGTCATGCCTCTCTTTCTCTATTCCCCAGTAAAAGTTGTAAGGTAAAAATAAAATCATAAATGCGTATTGTTAGATTGCTTCATAATTACCACAAGATTAGATTATATTATATAGTGTTGGATATGCAATGATTCTCCGTAAAAACAAGCCTTGCTAGTGTCTTGTTATTATTGTCGCTGTCTTTTAACTCTTACTGATGCAAAGCCGATCTAATGATGGGGAAACTGTTATGATTCCACAATGGAGTCGTCAGAGATTTCATTCTTACTCCATGAACAAAGAAAACGAAAAACAACTGCTTGGGCATGCATTCATTATACCATCATCACACAAGAAAAGATGTCAAACGCTGCAACTTCTACGGTGTTCCATTAGGCTAACGATGACGGTTTCAGGTCGGAAGATGATTACTACGCGAAAAAGACGATACAAAAATCAAGTGCATAAGCATCCACAAGTCTTGTAAACGTAGTAGTATACATTATAACTATGGAGAAACAATGGAAAAATCTGGTACCCTCTACATGCTATGTTCTCATCCACTCCAATCAAACCTGCAATTATGTTAAGCTACATATAAATTAAGGCGGAACGATGACTAGGAGGGTGTGTACCTGATACATTCATTCTTGAAATCAACTGAGCTCATAGATGATGCCTGAACAAAGCCTTCAATGCATGACCTTACGTTCTTCATCCATTGTCCAAACAAAGGGAGGCATGTCAAACCTTGGCCCAGAGACAGACCTATATATGTAGAGCTTCTCAACTGGGCAGCTTTCGGGTCTTGAATCTGGAGGTTCCGTCTCATCTATAACTTCAACATTCAGCCTGGGCATCTTCAGCCCTATTAGCTTACAAGCTCCGAAACTCACGGTGCAAGATGACATCCAAAGGGATCGCATTGTCTCCAGCTTTGCAGCATTGGCCAAAAGAGCCTTGTCCCCAAAGGGACAGTCCCGGATCTCTAGCTTCCGGAGGCTTTCACAGCCGGAAAGCACATGATGGAGTCCTAAATCACTATCTCCCGCAAAAGCCACGGACAGCATTTCTAGTTTTTTTGCATATGTCCCAATATATTCAAATACACGATCTGTGAGGAGACCAGAGAGGGAAAGCCGCCTGAGATCCTTGCAATGCTCGACAATGGCTCCAAAACCAACATCAAGTGGCTCGAGGGTCAGGTAATCAGCTGTTTTAGGCTCAATTATACAAAGACGAAAACGTGTAAAGTTTGGACTATTCTGGGCTATGGTGACTAATGCTGCATTAGTCATTCGACGGCAGAAATACAAAACTGACTGTAGCTTAGGACAACCCAAAGAAACAGCGACAAGGCCCTGTTCTGTCAAGGAGACATGCGGCTCTGCACCAAATGGGTCAGATGGGAACACACGTAATTCCTGTAGGTCCTTACAACTAGAAGCAAGTGCTTCAAGGCCACTATCTTCAATGTAGTCAAGTACCTGAAATTGAAACCGCTTTATGTGCACAACACGTTTAAAATAGCAATTCTAACCCAGCAGTGCTCAATCTGTTTATTAAACAATGATGCCAGATTAATAAGCTTACCAAAAGGCGCTGCAAATTTGGACAATTGCTTACAAGCTTGATTATTTCAGGATTCTGTATGGTAGCATAGCTTAAGTTCAGAGATGTTAATCTAGAGCACACGGAATAAAGAGCTGGAAGATAAGCCGGGACCACATCCCAAAACCCAGACAAGCTCTTTAACTCCTTGCAACAAGAAAAAGCTCCAGCCAAGTTCAACAAGACATCAGGTCGTAGCTCAGCAGAATAGCTACCAGTGCCAAAATCAACCAACTGTGGCGCACGATGTAAAATGTTGGCAATCTTATCAACGGTAACTCCACGGTTGAGCCGAAGAGACTTCAGGTTGGGACATCTACCCACCAGGCGCTCCAAGGCTGAGACACTAACTTCATCGGATCCCAAGCAAGAAATGTTTAGGGACAGTAAGGATGTGCACGTCTCAGGAAAATGTCTAAGCCAATGCCCACTCAAATCATCCACTTCACTTTCCCTCAAGTCCAGCTCTCTCAGATTCCTGCATTACCAAGTAGACTGGTTCACAAAAACAACATACAAGACGCGGGAGTAATAAAAACGACAATCTGAATTCTAAAAATAGAAAAACCCAAAATCAAGTAGGAAAAAAAAACCTAGAGTGAACTTGGAAAATCATGTTGTTGAACAAAATTAGAAGCTCACTACTGTCATTGTCATTGAAAACGACTAGACTACCACGCTAAATTTACCTTCTTTTCCCTACAATGGAACTTACAAGAAAAGTTGTATATTCTTTACGTGTATGATTGCTCAGTCAGCCAAAACTATCACTAAACAAGAGGGAATTTACGACTAACAAACAAAAAAAGAGCCGAGTAAAATGAAAGAAAAGTAATGACCCAGCTTGGAAAATTATTCCCCCATCAATCACGTTGACAAAAAATCCATCATTAATAACAATAAATCAAGAGAAAAGGAATCTAATTAAAGAGCAAAAACAAGACCGCATCTCGAAGGAATTAATCATCAAAATTCTGAAAGAACCCTAAATCGACTCTGCTAATCAAAACCAACAAGGTATCCAAGAATAAATAAATAAATAAATAAAAATAACCGGTTCACCTCAGATCTGAGAAAACCAGAAGCAGAAAAAATACAAGGAAGAAATAACTAAAACAAAAAGGCTAAGCATTGAATCTACAAGTAAAGCATCCAGAAGCACATTTTCCACTCAATTTACAATCCTACGTAACATTGAACCCAAAAATCTAGCTAAAACAAAAGCAAATTGTAGCAAAGCTTTTATCACTGCAAAACCAAATGAATTTTTTTAAAAAAAGAAACAAAAAGAGTTCATGAAACTCACTTGCAACCAGCAGCAATGGCAGCAAGTCCATCGGTTGAGAACCCTTCGCAAGAAAAAAGCACCAGCACTTTGAAATTCTTAAACGACTTAGCGATAAGCTCCAAGCTTTCATCCGTAACTACCATCCTTTTAAGCCGAATCTCTTCGAGCCAAGGGTAGGCGCCAGCCATCTCGACGATCCACGGAAGAACGTAGCCACCCCAACCGTCTGGGACCAGATTGAAGTCCGCGAAGTGCGGCTTCCCTTTCAGCTCAATGGATCTAACTTCCGGGAACCGCTTAATAACCATCCTAGGGCTCACGGCATAACAGTTGCCGATAAACACCTTCCTCCGACACCAACGTTCTATTTCGCACCACGATTTACACACCACCGAGACCGCGTTTCTGTCTTTGTCGGATTGGATGAAAGAGAAGACGTGCTCCAGCACTTCATCCGGAAAGGAATACATAATTTTCTTACGCATCAGTTATAAAAGCACGCACGACACAAAAAATCAGTCTTTTGATTGGAAAAGATCAATGCCTGTTCTTCTTTAAGCTCTTTGGTTCGAGTGAAACTTAATTTAGTGAACCTCAAAGAGTTTGTCTTTTTTTAGATCTGAAACGCCATTAACGAAGCTTACAGGGAGCAGGGAGGTAGAGATGGAGAAGGTGAAGTGAAGTGAAGTGAAGTGAAAAGACAGATAAATGATAGGATAAGGATTTTTAATTTTCTGTGCGTTGGGAAGATGGGTTAGTCTTTAACCATGGTTAAACAAGTCATGTGAAAGAATAGAGGTACGTAGGGAATGATGAACGTTTAAGATAATGACACGTGGTAGAGAAGAGATGTGGACCGCTGATGGCGATCTTATCCGTAGGCGACGAAGCGGAGCCGCAGAAAACAGGTGTCCATGTGAGAATTGAGTGGGACCATAGGGTTGGCTCTATTTTTATAAATATTATTAGGCTGTTCGTTCAGTTAAAATGGAATCGAATTGAATTGAATTAACCATAACTAAATTAATTAATTTTTTTTCTTTAACGGTTAATAGAATTGAACTTTTTTTCAAAAATATTAACTGAACTGAATAAATTTCGGTTAATTTTCGACTTAATCGATATTTTTAAAAAATTTCTAATTTATATAAAATTAAATTTTTTTAATTAAAAAAAAGTTTATAATTAATTTAAATAATATATAATTATAAAAAAATTTCAGATAAATTTTTTAATTAATTAATATTGATTTAGGTTTAAAAATTATTGGATCTTAAATTATTAATTGGGTTTTAAATGGTTTGGGCTGAGCTTATATGTTATATATAATATATTTAATATTTTTTAATTAAAAAATAATTTAAATAATATATAATTATAAAATAAAAAATTTATATAAATTTTTTAATTAATTAATATTGATTTAAGTTTAAAAGTTTTTGGATCTTAAATTATTAATTGGGTTTTAAATGGTTTGGGCTAAGCCCATATGTTATATATAATATATTTAATATTTAAAATTTAATTTCGGTTAATTCGTTTAATTAACCGAATTCGAACCGAATTAACCGTTAATCGAATTCTAAAAATTTTCTTAACCGTTAACCGACCGAATTAATTCGGTAACCGAACTAATTCAATTCGGTCGGTTAACCAAATTAGTTCGGTTATTTAAACACCCCTAAATATTATAGTTAAGTTCGAAACAAACTCTTTTCTTCAATACAGTTCGTTGATAAAAACAAATGAATCACGATGATATATATATATTATTTACATCAAAATTTATAATTTATAGCTAAAATTTCACGAGAAAAAAAATGAAAAAGTGACGTCAGACAAGATAGAGATTTTCCTGTAGGCTGGTTCCAACAGATGATTCACAAGAGAAAATTCGCCCAAAACCAGAATAAACAAGTCTCTAGGGTTTAACGAAATATTATAAAATCAAACAATGCCAAAATCAGTCCACAAGTTGGACTGTTATAGCCAAAAATTATGTTTATCCGAATTTTGCCAAAAATAACAAAATCCCGAAAATCACTTTAAATTGAAATTTGAAATAAAATAAACAATCTGCAAAAAATCCGGCCCAAATCGGATTTAAATTGACTTCCTAACTGACAAACGAAATATTACCATAAATAGTAAAAAATAAATAAAAATAGTGATTCGGAGGGGAAAACGGCAGAATTTGAAGTCGAACAACATGGAGTCATGCTCTATGTGGACAGCGTGCGCGTCAAAAGGGGCTTTCCGGATTGGGGTCTTATGCTCGATTTCGACACCTGTAGCCAAAGTTATGGCCAAAAGACTGAAACGCACTCAAAACGGCCCCAATGAGGAACATATCACAATCAACTCCCGCCTTTGCGCTGATCTGTCAACTCATGCTATCTCAGCGCCATCAATGTGCAATCTAACAGCTCAGCATCATCTGTCTCGGATCCCCTACATCAAAAAGAAAATCAATATCTACGTATTTTGGTGATAATTTGATAGTGGTTTAGTCTAAAACAATTAAATCCAATAAATAATAAAAAGGGTGAAGTACAAAAATGCTCATCAACTATGAGGTGATATTTTGTTTAGTCTCCCAACTATTAAAAGTTACAAAATGATTTATCGACTATAAGATGTTACTTTATTGAGTCATTTTATTATTAAAAGTTATAAATTAGTCATTCAATTATTTATATGTTATAAATTCATCTTTTTCTGTTAAAAAATTAATAACATGTGAATATTTAGGGTGATCATTTTTATAAGACTCAACAAAATAATACTCTATAACGAGGGGACTCAAAGAGCTAGGTTGTGATGTGCGTAAAACTAATTGTTTCATTAAATGGGAATAAATCATGAGTAAAGGTATGTTAGAAAAATTAATTGCCGCTGAGGCGTTAGCACTGGCTACAAAATATTAAATAAAAATATTTAAATAAAGAATCGATTAATTGTGTCGTGATATTAATCATTGTCTTGGAAACAAATTCGCATCGATGTGTGTAATTGTTATAATGGACGAGTGGCCTCCGAGGTTAGCACGACTCTCCAAATTCTGTACACCCGAAAGATGGAGTGGACTTGATGGTACTACTATTCTCTCAAAACTCAAAACGACACTCCGAATAGGTTTATAAAAACCAATGAGAATATTTCTAAAACAAACAATTTGCTTAGGGATGATTTCTCTTTAAGTGCATATGAAATGGAAAATTATACATCCATCTATAGTCTCAACATAGGGTTAAATGGTAAAATATCCAATATCAATTACAAAATAATTAATTGTCATAAACATTATTCTAATGACCATAAACTATATTAAATATTTTGCAACGACAATAAATGGTATAATAAACTCTGATAAATAATATTTTATCAGGAGGATATTGTTTAAAAAGAAGCACATATGAATCAAATCGGTCAACACCAAATGGTCTATACCCAATGTGAAATTCTTTGTATTACCAACATTCCCCCACTAATACAAAAAAAAATTATTTGGTAAAAATGAGAAATTTGAAGTCAAAACACGAGAAAAGCAATAGTAACGATGAGTAGTTATTCTCTTAAATAAGTGAACAAATCTTGAACTTTCTAAGATTAAAGTGAACTCATAACACACAACTCTTTCATCCACCAAAGTCATTGATGTGTCTACAAAGTATATATACGAATGTATATATACAACCCTATTTCCTCAGGATTCTAACAAGTATACTAGAAAAACGGTCCAACATTTTTCATAGAATGAGGGTAATCTTTTTCACTTACGTAGGTTATTTCATCATGTTTATCTCAACATAAACCACCCAAAATCGGGTTATGAAATAATTAAGAGCTTTACAATAGCTCATCCTCACAATAGGTAAGGTGGATTTCTTTAAATTAATTTTAAATAAACCACTCAAACCCTGGGATAAGAAATCATTAAGAATAAATATTTAACCTCATTAATCGGTGAATTTAATGTCTTTATCATCAGGAACACCCAAACTTTTGGATTTGAATTCATAAAGAGTTTTAATAAAACTCATATTTTCTAGCGGTAAGTTCATCTAGTCATCCACGATTAGGACTACCCACTCAACAGTAGGTTATGAGCTTATTAAGAAAATATATTCAACCAAAATCGAAAAATTCATCAAGTATTTTTCACTAAGACCACCCAAAGCCTGGGATATGGAGGTAGAAATGTATAGTATGAGTCTTTTCATGTCATCATTTGACCATACTGAACTTAGATAACTAAGTTGAGTATCCACCATGAATTTCTCAACCAATGAACTTTATACCCATCCCCTCAACGAATCAAGAACCAGCTTCTAAATTTAATCATTAGTAAGCGGGTCAACTAGGTTCCTCTCTCACTTTAATCATCATTTTAAGACACCCCGCATTTATGGTGCGGGTAAGGATTTTGCATCTCGGAGCTCACACACCCCTCTAGTCTACTGAGGTTGGTTGTAGAGGTGTATTCGGTTCGGTTTTTTTACCAAAAATTGAACCAAACCGAAATAAACAGTTTTTCAAAATTTAAACCGAAACCGAATGGTTAAAAAACTGAAAAAATCGAAACTGGTTTATTCGGTTCGATTTTTTAACGGTTTGGTTTTTTCGGTTTGGTTCGGTTCGATTTATCAATTTTTCAATGAAAAAATCACTTGAAACTATATTTTTTTAAAAAAATTGCCTATTCGGTTCAATATGGAACAAATGGGTTCCATATGGAAAACCCGAACCGAACCGAATCAAAAGAATGAAGATTTTAAACCGAACCGAAAACCAAACCGTATAATGTCAAACTGAACTGAACCGTTTTACTCAGTTCGTGTCGGTTTTCTCGGTTTCGTTGCTCAGCCCTAGTTGGTTGTCCAGAATCTCTACATTGGTCAACCTCCTCGACTATCCCACTCTTCGAGTGTCGGACCTTGCGCCCAAGCTAGTTAGCTTTAAGTGCCTCGCGCACTACCTAAGGATATATCCAGACTGAACTATACTTTCGATAATGCTAGCATTTTCTAAAGGAACTCGGGTGTCCTGATTATTTCCCGAGCATCATCCAAGTCTATTTTATGTCATCCTAATTGATCTTGTTTCTAAGTGTAATATTAATATCATTAATATTCTCACCTGTAGTCTTATTTGATGATAAAATGAAGTGTTGGGGTACGTCGAGTCTAATACCCTCGAGTCATAAAACACATATGAAAAACTCCATTTTTCAACCCCAAAGATCTTAGTGAGGTCCCCAAACACGATTAAAGTTTTATTTAATCAACAAGGGTCATAATAGAGGCTTTAAACACATTTATAATTCTAAAATAAGAATTTCACCATGAAAATGCTTATCATGCTCAACTCAATCATTTAAACTATCCGGAACTTCTAATGACTCACTATGAGTATAGAAGAGTTGTAAAGGTGTTACCTTGGTCCTTGGATAACTATAAACTTTCTCAACTCACTCAAGATTCAACTTTTCTTTTCCTTTAGCTCTTGAGCTTTCTTTTATCTCCTTCACTAAACAAAATGAGAAAATAGATTACCAATCTATCTATGGGTTGAATAACATCTAAACAAACTCCCTATAACTCAAAACTTAGTTAGAATTCGTAGATTCCCACAAATCTCTCAAGACCCATTTTTTGTTCTATGCATAAAAACTAATGAAATGTAACTTAAAACAAAGCTTGGAGTATGAAGATTGCCATTCTCACCTTAGTTTTACCATACTAGACTTGAAATGCTTGAACTCTCACTTGGAATGGAAGAGGGAAGAAATAAATTATGGAAGAAAGAAGAAGAGCAGCTGGTGAGAAGACAAGGGGAAGTGGTTCACGTAAAAAAATAATATATGGGAGGGTTTTTCAGCTTTCAAAATTAACCATGGGTAAACTACACTTTTAGTCCCTCAAATTTCTAAATTACATAACACCCATAACCATCAACCAAAACTCTTGGGCCCTAACTCAAGCCCAAAAATAATAAACTTGGTCCACTAATTTATAAGGTTCTTTGGGCTCATCTTTGGGTCTCGGGTTGACCCGAACTGTTCACCCGGGTTTCGAGTTATTACAGGGAGAGTTATAAGATTTGCTTTAAATTCTCTTTATGCACAAACTCATTAAAAACCATTCAGAACATATTATTACGATTTTTTAAACATTTTCTTTAAAGTAAACTTGCAAATGCATGAAAACCTAATAATATTTTGTTGCTAATCATTCTTTCAACCTTTTCGTAAAAGAATTTAAAATTTTGATTTTTCAAGATGTATGTGTAACTGAGGTCGTTCGTAACCACCATTTGCATATCAATGTTGCATTCAAGATTTAGAAGGAACTTCACTTATTAGGCAATTCGTTAATATTTTTCCATGAACAGCAATTTCGAATTCGCTTCTAAATTGTTGGAAAATTTAACTATTGCAAAACGATGCGTTAGCAATGACTGAAAAATATTAAATGAAATATTTAAATGAAGAATAGATTAATTGTGTCGTGATATGAGCCATTGCCTTAAAAGTGAATTCGCTCTGATGTGTGTAATCGTTACAGTGGAAAAATGATCCCCGAGGTTAGCACGACTCCCTAAATTCTGTATACTCGAAATATGGAGTGGACTTGGTAGTACTACTCTTATCTCAAAATTCAAAACGGACACTCCGAACAAGTTTATAAAAATCAAGAATAGTGTTTCTAAAACAATTTGCTTAAGGATGATTTCTGTTGAAGCGCATATGAAATGAAAAATTAAACATCCATTTATAGGGTAAAATGGTAAAAGATCCAATAGAAGTTACAAAATAATTGTCATAAACATTATTCTAATGATCATAAATTATATTTAATATTTTGTAACGATTGTAAACGGTAAAATAAACTCTGATAAATAATATTTTATTAGAAAGATCTTATTTAAAAAGAAATACATATGAATCAAATCATACAACGCCAAAAGGTTCATACCCAATGTAAAATTCTTTGTATTACCAACAAGGTAGAAAAAAGAATTTGAGTCATATATATTGATCAATGTTTGGTGATAAAGAACATCTTCTTTTAAATCGCCACTAAATATGAATTATGTCTTGATTCACGTTGATTAGGCGCTAGAGTGTGTAAGTGGAGTTATATTTTTTATATAGATTCTAAGTTAAATTTCATGAGTTTTAAAAGATATTTTTCAAAAAATCAATTGATAGAATAATACGTGAAAATGATAAGTTCATCGATATTTTGAATAACAATAAACAATAGGTTGATGAATAATAATTTTTACATCAATGTGACATATATAGGGCGAAAGTCTATGTTTTATCTTTGTGGGTAAGAAGATGGGAAAGTGAACAACACATTTCATGTGAGCATAAAAATATCCACGTCATAATATTTACGATTTAATGTTTGTATGATCACAATATGAAAATTTTAAAAATATAATTATCAAGTTATTATTTTTTAATTTGAGTAATCAAATTAAATCTAATGATGAACAATTTAATTTATCTTTTAGTATTTTAAGTATTACTTTGTTAGCATTGATGGTGGACCGAAATCCATGCTGCTACACATGTGGCACTTAGAAATTGCAGTAATACAGTGGTCTACCTACATTTGTTGTATTATTTAAATCATTTGTGTATTCGATTATTTGTGATATAAGGCTCAGTTGGGGTATAATTTGTACATCGTTAATTTCACAAAGAATTTAAAGAGGCATTAATTGAATAATGTGTTACAACAATCCCAGTCAATTGCCAGCGAACGTTGAACGATATGCAATTACCCAACTGTCACACCTCAAGCAACCAAATAATAAATATGTTGTGGATCCACATTCACTCAACCAATGTCACTTGTTTGCTTTATTATGCATTTATTGTATATATAATAAAGAAACGGATTTGATTTCTCTATTCAATAAAAAGATCAAACTGTCTCGATCGATATTTTCATGAAAAGATGACTGAAGACAACATCAAATTAATAAAAAAAAATGTAAACAACATTGGTGACATTAATTCTCAATTTAACAACCGATGGGCTCTCGACGTTTGTCAGGAGTAACGTTGAATGATAGATGAAAATGGTCTGTAAAAGAAGAGTAGTTGAAAGATAAGACTGGCAGGCTTCTTGGTTTTGACTTGTACGAGACACCCAACACTTACTATCAGAATAACTACATATTGCGTACAAGCTACTTCCAAAACATTCATTCATTCGCCAATAGGATTGGCCCTTCCAACAGAATAGCTCTGTTTCAAGACTCCGATTATCTCTTCGGCAACACCTTTCTGGTGAACACTGATTGAAGGCCGAGCTTCCGGATAGCAATGGGACCTGGTGGACCGGGAGGAGGACCAGGAGATCCTTGGGGCCCTGGATTTGGAGGGCCAGGAGGTCCTGGTGGTTTCTTTGGTGGCTTTGCGAATGGTTTGTGCAACATGATATCTTCATGGTAAGCAATCTCGTTGTTACTCAATTCTGCTCCCATGTATAGTTGAGTGCGTTTTGATTGAGCTTTTACATTGTTTGGACTTGAAGCTTCTATTGCCTCTGCTGTTGTTGGCTACTGCAAGACTGCTTTGGCGGACCCCGTGGCTATGGCCCTCCCCCTTTCTAATCCTCTCTCACCTGCTGCCTGCTGCCTGCTGCCCTGCTTGTGTTGTGTAATGCCTTTTAATAAACTTTACAATCTAGTCATTGCTTCTTATTGTTGTTTTCCCTACTATTTTCTTCTATTTCCCTGTAAACTTTTATCAGCGTTCATAAATGATGTTATAGACTGGTTGGAATTTCCTTGTTATCGTCCACACTAGTATGCCCACATTTTCACCCACAACTTTAGAAGCGGATATCAACAGTTTTTCAAACTGTTAAAAAGGAACATACGATGAACATTTAGAAGGCACAATTTGAGAAATGAGGAAGTGCAGATAAAAAATGGATAAACGTCTCCAACAAGGGAACTCCTTAACAAATACGCAATCCATTCACACAGTTCTTCAGCTTCTTTTTGCACAAGAATTAAAAGAAACAATCATGTTAACAAAGCACACAACCAACATGGTGGTCAATTGGTCATGTCTAGCTCTCAATACAAACAGTTAATATGTACAGAAAATAATTAAAAAGAAGTTAAATCCTAACTGCTCATATTGAAACCGGAAAGCATTGAAGTACCAAGAAACTTTTTAGCAGAACATGCCAAGTCCATAGAAAGACCAAACTATTTTGCGTCTAACAATACCTGCAGTTCAAAACCAGGAGCTTAAGCTTCTCAAGATCCATAAATAAAATTAGGGTTAAGATTAACCAGTCGATTGGAATTGTATCGGCATGATTGGCAAGTCAATACTACAAGTGACCAAGTTACAGGGCAGATTTTTTTTTTCTTTTTTAGCATGACCATACGACAGATTCTACGAGTATCCTGGAATTCTAGGCTTAACACGGAGTAAACCGATTACTTGATAATCTGTTACAACAAAGTTGAAATTCGCAAGGGCCAGCAAAGCAGGTTTAATTATTTGCCACAATCCAGAACACAAAAATGACATTGATAAAAAGTATATGCTTGTATTGATTTTCAAAAATGTCAAAAGTTCAAAAGTTAGGTAAGTTAAACTCATACCTGTTCGCATATCACTCACAAGCAATCTTAGTGTCAAAGCTACTAAGGCAGATAGCAAATGCTTGAAAAGCTCAGATTGGATACTGATAATCCATAGTGAATACATCCTTCCCCACTTTCCCAAACTGCAGTATGACATTCTCATGCTCCTGCTCACCAACTCCATTTACTGGAGATGCAACCAGTTGAAATTTTTTTACTGAAGCAACTGTCACCCGTCCATTAAAGTTCAGGCACCAGCACTGGAGTTGTTCGTGCCACCTGGGTGACTTGTTCCTCAATACCAGCATTTCATCTTTCTGCTCAGACAAAGGTCTGGATCGGAAACTCACTGAACGGGTTGATTTTGATATAAAGAACAGCAGTGATGGGAAAGTATCCAGCTTACTGTGTATGAATTCAGTCTGTGTGGGAGCAACACCTCCGGGCTCAATAGAAGAGGCTGGGATGGCATCCATGACGCACCGCATTCTCCTTGGTCCTCTATAGTACAGAATATATTAATTTCAGTAAGCATACCAAAACTAGGTGATAGACGATGACCACCCCGAGGCAAAGAGAGAGAGAGAAAGAGTAACTTTCCAGATGCTCCTTACCTAGAACCCAAGACATTCAACTCATAAGAGATCTGAGCTACAGGATAGTTGCCAGCTGGGACACATGGAGAAACTTGCTTCATATTAATTAGCATGGTGGAGGAACTTTTAGTAACCTTGGCTCCAGCATTTGGAGGCTGTGCATCATAGACTGTGAACAAGGTCCGCAAAAAGTTTGATCTGTTAAAGCAAATCAAGGTAAGTTTAGATTCTGAAATTACTAACATATGATGTATCAGCAAAATCATAAACCACTGGACAGTACCTCAACTTTCCAACGTAGGTACTGCTTCCTTTCAACACATCATTGCCATTTAATGAGATTATATAATCTGTGCAGGTAGGACGGAGGTACTTCCTTGCAGCGAGAAGGAACTTTCCATCATCATTTGAAGCTGCCAAGTAAATACATAAAGCAAAACAGTTTTACATACATAACTAAGAAAAGATACCAAAAGAGATACAAGGCACTAATCAATCACCTCAAAAGAAAGACAAATAAATAAAAGCAGCTCACCTTGATTCAAGCCAAGGTAAAGATAATATGTTTGGTTGCTACGGTTAAGCTTTATGTAACACTGAAGAAGGGAGTTCCTTGGACCAGGCTGCAAAAGCAAATAACAAATACTGTGAACATATATATCCAAACTTTTCACTTATCATGGATACTTAATGAATAATGAAAACTGCTCCAAGTAGAAACATATAGCTTCTAGTCTATTATCTTAGATAGGTGCCTTTAAAGCAATTATACAGCCAAGTAACTGTCAAGTTCACAATTCATCTCAGGAGAATTTCTGCCTTTAGAATTCAAGATTTTTTATTTGGTCACTTATGAAAAAGAAAACTGTTGTGATGCAGCATGATAAACAGCACTCAACATATTTCTAACTCTAGATTCTAAACTTCCTACAGAGTATGACAAGACGATCCTAGAATGCAAGACACATCTCAACTTAAACAAATCAGCAGAAGGTAGATATTGCCCCTCATTTTTCACATTATATACCCACCATTACTTATGAAAGCACACCTGTAAGGAGAGTATAACAAGAGAAAGGGAGTGCGACAAATTTTGTAAATGCTAGGGAATTGTCCTAACTTAAATCAAACTTGAAAAAGAAAAAGGGGAAAAGGAAAAAAGAAGACATACTAGAACGGTCATCCCACCATGTGGATTCATCACCTACGGGTGCTTTTTGAGTAAATGTAAATGCTGCACAAGCAAAGAACAACTTGGTGGCACTTGGCGGGCCTGGGAGCCATTTTATGAGATTCAGATGGTCGGATCATAGATACTATTGTTAGGAAAAAACTATTTTTAATGTATTTGAGTTTAAGTTATGGCTATAAAAGAATGAATAATTTTTTCCAGGATGTAGGAATTTTTAATGTAATCATCTTAAATGGAGCTTAAGGAAAGAGGTACCAGATCATTTATAGCATGACACCTAGACGAAGAAACTACCTTTTTGACCTGTAACCTTAATTCAATATCCGGGTCTTTCCTTATGAGGGATGGGAACTCTGACACATTCTTTAGCTATAACACTTTATCCTAATGAGGTGAGAATAGTTCACAATTCCAGATAATCCTGACTTGGATGCCATTGCAGTTGATTAGTATAAGGAAAAAAAGATTTAAAGATAGAGCATAATAGAATTACTTTAAGGTCAATAAATAACCAAGTGAAAAGCAATTCGATCAAATAAAAAATAAAATTCACTTAACAGAAAAGAATAAAAGGACAGGCATGCAGCTAGTACCTGCTTCAATGAGATTGGGAATGTCAAACTGCAAGACATTTCTGGGGTTTTCACAATTTCCTTCATAATCTCTCTCCAATTCCTACATACACCAGCACAAACAACCACATTCTTCCGTGGAGGCCAAGTAATCTCCGATGCCTCTATTCTCATCAACAAATCCCTCAAAAGCTCAGGTTGCATGTTTGCCCAACAGCTCTGCCCGAACACATCAACTGGAAGCGACTACCCTGTGTGACCTCGATCTCACGCCAAACCCAGACTTCCCATCAAACCCTTTTCTCGATATACTCCCCAACTCTCCCTTCATGTCCTTGATAATGCTCTTAAACGACATCTATGCCTCCTAATCCTCTAAAATCCAATGATAACTTAACAATACACTTCACCTCTAAAATTTCCAATGACTAAACAATGTACCTAAAAGCATTAAATTTCGAAATCTCTCCACGGCTCCACGGTACAACCTAACATCTCCAAAATCAAAGCTCACAATCGCAGACGCATAACCGAATAAACACTAATGATTTGAAATTGACAGCTGAGCTATCAAAATTCATACACAAATAAGCTATGAGCACTAAACAACATGATCCAGAACAAGAAGTCTAATAAGATTGAAAGCTGACTCCAAACACCGAAGTGACTGTTTCGCCCCTAATCATCAGTTCTCCTCCAAATGAATGTAGATTACCATAACTGGCATCCAAAAATATCATAAAGAAACAACACTTACCACCAAATTTACCCATCAGCCAATAAATCTAAACAAAAAGCTAGCCGTGAAAAAAGATCAAAAAGCTTAAAAGGAAACAACATTCAAACTAACACCTGTAGATCTCTCTTCTTATCCTAAGTCCAACCAGGACCCATCAAACTACCAAATAATAAGAAACAAGACAATTGTGAAAAACATCAAACCTTAACAAAGATGAAAGATCAAAGCACATGGAATAACATCCGGGTCAACAAGTATCAGGTTTTAGGATCATGGGGTCGATGGTATCTGAGGTTTTTGGCCTTGGGCAGTGAGAAGCCTGCAGGTGCAAGATGGGGGAAAGATTTAAGGCTAAGTTGCCAAAGTTGGTTGCGTTTGGTGCGTTTTTTTCGGGTTAGTCTGGTGATGTGTGGAGGACTTGGAGCAGAGTTTTACTGTGATTGAATGCCTGCCCACCCAAGGGTCCCATCTTCATCTTCCCTTATCCAATTATGAACCTCACTGACTTGTATTTCCGAATAAGAAAAACTTTATTTAATTTTAAAAGGTAATATTTTTTAGTATAATGATAAAATTTAGCCCTAATACTTAATTAGATAGTTACTTTATATGAATTAATCAATTAAATAATTTTGGTGATTAAAGGGATATTTATTATCTCTTAAGATTTTAAGTTCGAATATGTCGTTTGCAAAAATATTTTAGCGTTTATTATTAAATGATCAAAAATCTTTCGAACAAATATTATCTTTTAATCATTTGAGACTAATAAAAAAAATTAAATAGTGATTTTACAAGAAAATTGATAGTTGACTAACTGTTGTTGTTCGGCGTTGATGTAATAAATATGTTGCATAGTCATTTTGAATCTATGTTATATAACACATTATCACTTATGTACAAGTGATATTGTCACATTGACTATTAATATTGATTGTTAGTTAATTAATAATTTTTATTTAAGTATTAGTCATTTAAATCTAAAATGAAATGTTTGCAAATAAAAAATATTTTAAAAAGTAAAGATTAAAATAATTATTTAATCAAACACTGAAATAAATTTTATTATTATAAAATATAAAAATATAAAAATTA